ATTGACTATGCAAAAGCCTTTGACTGTGTGGACCGCAGCAAACTATGGCAAGTCTTAAAAGAAATGGGCATGCCTGACCACCTTATCCACCTCCTGAGAAACCTATATGTGGGACAGGAAGCAACAGTTAGAACTGGATATGGAACAACGGATTGGTTCAAAATTGGGAAAGGAGTACGACAAGGCTGTATATTGTCACCCTGCTTATTTAACTTATATGCAGAATACATCATGCGGAAGGCTGGACTGGAGGAATCCCAAGCTGGAATTAAGATTGCCGGAAGAAATATCAACACCCTCCGATATGCAGATGATACCACTCTGATGGCGGAAAGTGAGGAGGAACTAAAGAACCTTGTAATGAGGGTGAAAGATGAGAGTGCAAAAAACGGTCTGAAACTCAACATCAAAAAAACTAAGATCATGGCCACTGGTCCCATCACCTCCTGGGAAATAGAAGGGGACGATATGGAGGCAGTGACAGATTTTACTTTCTTGGGCTCCATGATCACTGCAGATGGAGACAGCAGCCCCGAAATTAAAAGATGCCTGCTTCTTGGGAGGAAAGCAATGACAAACCTTGACAGCATCTTAAAAAGCAGAGACATCACCTTGCCAACAAAAGTCCGAATAGTCAAAGCTATGGTTTTTCCTGTAGTGTTGTATGGAAGGGAGAGCTGGACCATAAAGAAAGCAGACCGCCGAAGAATTGATGCCTTTGAATTGTGGTGCTGGAGGAGACTCTTGAGAGTTCCCTGGACTGCAAAGAGAACAAACCTATCAATTCTAAAGGAAATCAACCCCGAGTGCTCATTGGAAGGACAGATCCTGAAGCTGAGGCTCCAGTACTTTGGCCATCTCATGAGAAGCGAAGACTCCTTGGAAAAGACTTTGATGTTGGGAAAGGGTGAAGGCAAGAGGAGAAGGGGACGACCGAGGATGAGATGGTTGGACAGGGTCATCGAAGCAACCAACATGAATTTGACACAACTCCGGGAGGCGGTGGAAGATAGGAGGGCCTGGCGTGCTCTGGTCCATGGGGTCACGGAGAGTCGGACACAACTAAACGACTGAACAAACAAAACAAAACAGTACAAACATGCAACGTACCATTTAAGCACAACCTTCCTATGATGCACGATCATACCATCCCTAGAGTGTTGCCAGCTCCATGTGATGTGTTGCTACCCAGAGGATCACGCTCTTTGCATGTACTGTAGAAATGTCTTCAAGAGAAGTAAGGTGTGACAAAGTTTTTTATGTTTTTATGTTTCTAAAAGTGGGAATTTTTAACACAAATACACAGCTAGAAATTTCTCAAAAACAAGCTCTAAACTTCCCCTAAATGTATTATGAGCTTAAGTATGAGTCAGATGAGAGATTCTACCAGACACATATATCGAGTCAAGGTTGCTGGCTACCTGCCTCTTTCCAATCTCCCACACAGAGTGGCAGATGTTTCTTATTTTAAAGGGTCATCTTGATTCCACCCTCTACCCCAACAATATCAGAGTCTCAAGGAATGTAACGGATATTCTTTATTTCTGTGCTTCCTCGGAGCATGAATAATAAAACGTCATCAGTGTGATAACACAGCGCAAGACCCGAGGAAGCAAATCAGCCTTAGCATTATAGAGCTGGAAGATCTCCCAAGGGCCATTAAGTTCAAGCCCCTGATGATGCAGGAAATTCTCAGCTTCAGCATCCCTGCCACATGGACCATCCAACTCCCATCTAAAAAAACTCTAAAGAAGGAGAAGGCACCACCTTTTGAGGCAGTTCATTCCACCATCACATCTTCATACAACATCGGTGTAAGAATACTCTTTCTTCCCCCTTGTATGAATATGATCAAAGTGAAGTTTGTTTGTTTTGAAAGGAAGATACAGTAATTAAAATGTGGATTCTGCCTATTTGAATGCAAGATTTTACTAACTGGAAAATGAAATCTCTTCACCACTCGAGAAAGAAGTGCTAATATGTTTTCCCAATCAATTTCAGATTCTTCTAGTACAACACTTTCTTTGCTTCAGTTAATGTGTTTGCTGACAATCATTGCTACAGACGTGCACAATTTCAGATTCTGATATTTCTTCCTTCTTCACATGAAGAATTTCCAGTGATGGATTACAATCACAATCACAGTCTTTTGATTTGTTGTTGTCATGTGCTATCAAGTCGCTTTCTACTCACGATGAATGAGTGACCTGAAACAGGTCCTGTCATCAACAGCCTGCTCAGCTGTTGCAAATTCAAGGCTACAGACGTGCACAATTTCAGATTCTGATATTTCTTCCTTCTTCACATGAAGAATTTCCAGTGATGGATTACAATCACAATCACAGTCTTTTGATTTGTTGTTGTCATGTGCTATCAAGTCGCTTTCTACTCACGATGAATGAGTGACCTGAAACAGGTCCTGTCATCAACAGCCTGCTTAGCTGTTGCAAATTCAAGGCTGTGGTTTCTTCACTGAGTCAATTCATCTCACATTTAGTCTTCTTTTCTACTGTCTACACGGGTTGGATTACAAATGGTTACTGCTGAGAACCCTAGGTGAACTAATGTAGTGAAAGCCAGGACAGGAAAGATGCATTAAAGCACTGAAGTTATTGACAGCACCAATGAAACGTGGAGACTCCATAGGGATTTGACCCGGTGTCACCTGCAGGATCAATCCACCAGGTTATTTTTTTATTTACAGGGATATTTACATCATCTGCTCCCCCTCCCCTGTTGAAATTTAGCAGTCTTCGCAGTATCCTGAAGTAGAAGGGGTGAGGTTTTTTCCAGCAGGGACCCTTTTGTAATAAAAAGAACCTTGGTCTTGAATACTGTAGGCAATTAAGATTGATTAACTTTACAAAAGACCAGCCCCTGGTGATTGAAATTGCTCAAACTGGTTTAATGAGATTGACACAGCTGCCTGCATTTCTTAACTCTCTTTTGAGTTTTTGGTAACTGCACTTCAACATTTAGGTAAAGTTTCCCCTTGACAATTTTTGTCCAGTCGTGTTTGACTCTAGGGGGCGGTGCTCATCCCCGTTTCCAAGCCATAGAGCCAGCGTTTTGTCCAAAGACAGTCTTCCGTGGTCACATGGCCAGTGCGACTCAGACACGGAACGCTGTTACCTTCCCACCGAGGTGGTCCCTATTTATCTACTTGCATTTGCATGCTTTCGAACTGCTAGGTTGGCAGGAGCTGGGACAAGCGACGGGAGCTGACTCCGTTGCGTGGATTCGATCTTACGACTGCTTGGTTTTCTGAGCCTGCAGCACAGGCTTCTGCGGTTTAGCCCGCAGCGCCACCACCTCCCTAATTCAACATTTACCAACATGCTATTGAGTACTTCACACTGCAGTTAATTTAATACTGAGTGAAGAAAAATCTAATATCTCAAATTAGGTGCCCCGTTTCCCCAGGTTTTATAGTGGTTGTTCCCACCACCACCTGTCCTCAATAATCCATTTGCCATACAATTCTTTATACTTATATCTGAAGAAATAGACTTATCCATACATGCTCACATTAAAATTTAGCTGATAGTCTTTAAGGTGCCACATTTCTGTCTTCTTTATTTGTTATTTTTTTTTCATTCTGGCCTGATATGCTAGCGCAGACTCACACGACTGACTACCTCTTCTAAAACTACGATTCTGTACCTGTTTATTTAGGAGCTTTCAAAGACAGGATTTCTAGCACATTTGAGGACAATTCTGTCTTCCTGTCCTTCATATATATTTTATTTGTGTTTTTTTTAAAGAAAAAGTTGGAAAAAAATACTGATGAGTTATGAATGGAAAACAGCAACAAGTTCGCGTTGTCCCTCCCTGCACCAAAACTTTGAATCAGGGACTGGGGATTAGATAGGAAAAGACATTAACTTGAACCATTCCTCCCCAATAATTATATGTTCCACTGTAACTAGAGCATGCTTAGGGTCCAATTCTAAGCATACTTCTCTGAAAGTCAACCCCACTGATCTTAGTAGGATTTACTTTTCAGTAAACAGACATAAACCCCATCTGGCACCTGCATACATACTTTCTTACGATTCAGTCTTTCTTAAACTGGCGCGCCTTCCAGATATTTTCCAGATATATGTAACTACAACACCTATCATCCACAGACACGCTACCTGGAGCTTTGGAGCAGCAACCCCTCCCACTTGCCTGAGGCATGAGATTTTGGGTGTCTCATGAAAGGGCAGGAAATGATTAAGTCAATTCATTCATTCTGATTGTAATTTTACTGCCATGAAGGACAAATTTGTAAGTCTGGATTTTGGGGTTCATTTTTTTTAACCTGTTGCATTTGCTGCTTTGTTTCAGCCACCAAAAAACACTTTGAATAGCCATAGTCTGGGGAATGCTGGCTTTAATTCACCATCATCTTCTTAACCTTTGTGTCAACTGCTCCATCAAACAAGAAATGTCTCATTTGTTAACTATGAATGTTTTTTTTAAAATATTTTGATTTCTTTACCATAAAACAAAATACAAGTGGTTGAAACAATGTATTTTCCCCGGTTAAATCACCGTACGCATTTAAATAAAATGCGTCTTTGGACTTCTATGGAGATGGAGAGAGACTACAGGGGGCGGTTACGATATATTAATAATCTTCCTACATGAAAGCATTTTTTTTGCTTCAGATTTATTTTGCAAAATGTTTCTGTAAGCATCCGGCAATAACAATTACAATAGCAAGAAATCCGTCACAGCAACAACAATGACATATAGACAATAAAATTAAAGCTATATAACTGAAAGAAAAATATATTAACTATTAATTAAATAATAACAATTCCGCAGCTTAGCAGGCGCGGCCAAGCGACGTGAAGTCAAGCGGGAGGCGGAGCAAAGTGGGCGGGGCTACGCAGAGGCACCTTGGCTTCGACAGGCCGGCCTCCGCAGGGGCAGGGGCGTGGCCACCTCGGGTGCTGTCATCTGTAGGCGGAGCTTTGGGCCGAAACCTCGGTGTGATTGGCTCGTGGAGGCGTGGCCGGGCGCGCTGCTGGTGTTGGCTGCCGCACTCGGGTTGTCTCTTGCAGCGTCGCCGCTGTCGTGTGAATCTGCGTTAGAGATTGGGCGATGCAGCGGCTGTTGCTACTAATACAGTATGCTTGCATGTTTCCTTCTCGCACTGCTGCCGTCTGAATGCTCCATGAGATCTGTCAGTGCAGGCACTGGTGCGGCTGCCCCCGTCACCACGTCCTCTCCTCCTGGGCTGGGCACGAGCCTGTAATGATCCCCGGCTTCCTTCGGACTGTTTAAGCAACGAGGAGAAAAGGGGAGCTTAATGGAAGCGATGTCCCCACAACAGGATCACGTCGGGCAGGGACGCTCTTCCTCCCTGACCGGGGGATCCCGAGGATCTTCAGCTTCCGACAGCAAGAAGGTAAGAAAGACTTTTCTTCCTCGCTCCCTCTTGCAAAGCAGCCGGCAATGGGGGGACGCGAACACGTCCCTCCTCCAGTATAGACACAGGCTGGGGGAGGGGGGGTCTGTCTCTCCTTGCCTTTCCTCCCTTCATCTGTCCCCCACTCAGGACTTGCAGGTTGGTTCCGTGCTTTCGTGGTTACTCGAAAGGAAGCACTTAACTCCCAAGTAAAGCGTGCACGGATTTGACGCCGTGCAGCCCCAAAACCTGACCTGATCATGTTTGTGTGGAAACAAGTGCTGCTGGAATCAACGAGACCTTCTTTCCAGGCGAAAGGATTACAAACTACAACCCATTATCCTGAGAGTGAAAGAGCAGGGATCCTGGGCAAGCCTGCATTCCCATATTCTTGGCATGCTCCTAATTTCAGCATGTACACTCCTTTCTCCCTGTCACTATTTATTCCGGAAAGGACAATATTATCATCATCATATTTTTCTGATTGCGTCCATTTCATTACTATCAGTGCCTTACCATTGCGGTGTTAAGTATCGTTCTGATTGATTGGAGCGCCTGTTGCAGATTAAAAGGGGAAATGCGATCGTGCGAATGTCCCTCCACCCCACCCCGCAGGCTGCATTCCCGTGTACATTCCCAAGTCAGGGCGCACTTGGGATCGGGAAGGTGGGTCCAACCTGCAAGGAGCCCGTTTCCTTCGGCACAACTCAGAAGAAGGTTGTGGTCGTGACCGGGTTAAAAAAAAACAAAAAAACGACGAACCGCCCCCCCCCCGGTCCACAATCTTTCTCTTGTTCCTCCTGCTTGCACGTCGGGAAGGAGAAAGTGCGTGATTTATTCCCCCCTTCCACCCACTCCCAGCTCCAGTGCCGCATGCGTGTTTCACCTCCAGAGTCCAACCTTTGCAAAGCCTGTGGTGTGTATTCGCACACTGGGTGGATGGACACGTTGATGACACGGCGCGTAGTTAGGGTCCTTTCCCTCGCAAGCACCGATAGTAGTGGTAGTAGTGATAGTAATAGTGGCGGCGGCGGCTGCTAAGGCATTGACCGTGAA